CTGGACTGGAGCTCAATGATGGCTTTCTAATGATAAAAGGTGGAGCTTCTCCGAACAATGATCCCGTCGCTGAATACTGTGACGTGTCCGGGATGTACCCATGCAGACTTGATAAGACACTGACAGGTCCTCTTTAATATAAATGGATTCCATGGAGGGGATGCGGGATGAATGGAGACGTTTCTCTTCTTGAGAGGTTCTGGAAGCTGTTGAAGAATGGGGGAGGGGCGGCTGGGCCCGGCGGGCGATAACGACGCGCGGCCTTGCCTGGTGATATTAGGAGTAATACTTCTGTACACAGGCGGAATGTACACCGAGAATGATGTTTGCACACATGGAAGGAGGACGCCAGGGCAGGAATTGGATGGAGCATAATTGTGGACATCCTGCTTGCTTACTCGGCACGCCCCACCACCCTTGCCAAGCGCAGACTCAATAAGGGCGCTGTCATGGACCCGGCTGCCATTGGCCCGGACACAGTGTACCCGCCGTTCCGGAACATCGCCGCTGGCGGGTGGACGTTTAATTGTGTGAGCCATTCTCCAAACACCGAGCTTGTTCACTAAGGCAAAGCGCAACCAATCTGAGATCGGCTTTCACTCTCCTGGCTGTAGCTATCTGAAATCTGATTGGTTGCTTTGTGCCCGTGTCCATCGCTGTTCATGCTCATGCTGTTTCCTTAAAGGAGAACTATGGGGTCAGGGCTTTTCCCCATAGTTCTCCTTAGGGTAACGGGAGGACACAAACTAGCGTCCTCCCGTTACCCTAAGCTCAGTATACCGCGAGCTACAGCAGGCAGACAATTGTGCCGAGATCCGCCCAGCTGCGTGACTGACAGCTGGCTCTGCCTATCTAGAAGCAGAGCCTGCTGTACCCGCCCCCTCCCCCGTCCGTTCCGCCAGTCAGCGCTGGAGGATCGGAGCGGGGAGGGGGGAATCCAGCCCCTCCCCTGTCACGGCAGAGAGCCACAGAACCTGAAGGCGGCCATCTTGGTTCTTTGGCATTTTTTCCCAGAGGTCGCTGGAAGCCAGGTTGATGTCCCTCTTTGGTTGCCTGCATCCATTCTTGTCATGCAGTTTGATCCAATCAGTAGGGATTAGTAAACGTCTGAACAGTTAGATGAGCTGCGGCTTGGCTGAGAATCCGGGGACACCGGAAATTCGGAATTTTTGAACCATTGAAGTCAACAATTAATCCGAATCTGGCTCCAAATAAATGTGTACTACAGAGCAGCCAAAGATGCAACATTTGGAAGCTCTTGGCACCCTGATGAGACGATGGGGCCAAAAAAACAGTCCAAGCCACAGCCTTCAAGAACTCCACCAGGGATACCAAGATAGAAGTGTGGAACCTGGTGGGCCTGGCAGTCAGGCTAGGGAATGGTAGGACTTGGGTGATGACTGGCAGCCAGGCTAAGGGAGGATGGGTCCTGGTGGGAGTGGCATTCAAGCTAAGAAAGGGTGGGACCTGGTTGGAATGGCAATCAAGCTAATGGAAGGGTGGGATCTGCTGGGACTGTAAGTCAGGCCAAGTAAGGGTGGGTACTTATGAGACTACCAGTTAGGCTAAGGAAGGGTGGGACCTGCTGCTAATGGCCATCAGGTGAAGAAAGGATAGGACCTGGTGGGACTGGCAGTGAAGCTAAAGGGAATGTGGGATCTGGTGGGCCTGGAAGTCAAGCTCAGAAAGTGTGAGACCTGGTGGGACTGTCAGTTAGGCTAAGGAAGGATGGGTCCTGGTGGGACTGGCAGTTGGGCTAAGGAAGGATGGGTCCTGGTGGGACTAGAGGTCCAGCTAAGGAAGGATGGGTCCTGGGGGGACTGTCAGTTAGGTTAAGGAAGGATGGGTCCTGGTGGGACTGTCAGTTAGGCTAAGGAAGGATGGGTCCTGGCAGTTAGGCTAAGGAAGGATGGGTCCTGGTGGGACTAGCGGTCCAGCTAAGGAAGGATGGGTCCTGGGGGGGCTGGCAGTTAGGCTAAGGAAGGATGGGTCCTGGTGGGACTGGCAGTTAGGCTAAGGAAGGATGGGTCCTGCTGGGACTAGCGGTCCAGCTAAGGAAGGGTGGGACCTGGTGGGACTGGCAGTTATACAATGGGTACTCAGGAAAGACAGAAGAAGATAAACGGCAGAAACAACCTTTGGCACTTCCTTGGGTCCCTTTCTTCCAGAAGCCTTTTGGAAATCTGGACTGCCAATATTCAGATTACACTTGGGACATCCAAATTCATGAAATTCCGTCCAAATCTAACACCATTCAATCAGCGCTGGCGGATCGGAGCGGGGAGGGGGGAATCCAGCCCCTCCCCTGTCACGGCAGAGAGCCGTGACAGGATCGAGAGGTGAGCGAACGCCGGTATGTGTTCGCTCACTTCCCGATCTACTGAGCCGACCTGTGACAGTCTCATTGCCACAGGTCGGCTAGAACTATGAGGTGAGTGAAAAGCACCCCCCTCATAGTTCTCCTTTAACTCCTCTGCGCTAAAAACCTTCATCTTCTCTCCTAATTATCTAATTTGCTGCTTTGAAAAGTCAGCATGAGACCCAAACTATACACCGCTCTGGTCACATTGCAGCACCCCCCCCACTTACTGTCCTCCATTCACAAAATGCCTGTTTTTTTTTTTTTAAAGAAGAATGCAGTGGTGGACCATAGGAGCAAAGGGCCCTGGTGTAAGATCCACCCCACTCAGAAGCCTGTAGGACCATGCGACTATACCTTCTCCAATGGGAAAGGGGGGGCGTGACCGGATCTCACTGGGTCCTCCCCCAGCTTCAGTCCGTCCCTGGTCTCTGCACCAGAGGAGCTTTCACGCTAAGGTCCCCCCACAGTCACACACTCTTATTATTAGGGATACACCGATCCACATTATACATCAATGCAGAATGGCACCCGCCATAGAGCACTACAAATCCCAGCAATACATCATACAGCAATGCAGAATAATAGTATATGAATTTGTTACATACCTTGTGCTGCTGACGTGATGTCTCGGGCGGAGGGTCTCAGCAGGGCAGATGCGGAGGGTCTCAGCAGGGGCAGATGCGGAGGGTCTCAGCAGGGGCAGATGCGGAGGGTCTCAGGAGGGGCAGATGCGGAGGGTCTCAGGAGGGGCAGATGCGGAGGGTCTCAGGAGGGGCAGATGCGGAGGGTCTCAGGAGGGGCAGATGCGGAGGGTCTCAGGAGGGGCAGATGCGGAGGGTATCAGGAGGGGCAGATGCGGAGGGTCTCAGGAGGGGCAGATGCGGAGGGTCTCAGGAGGGGCAGATGCGGAGGGTCTCAGGAGGGGCAGATTGGTTGTGTGGCATGGGTGTGCCCATTGTCAAAATACATTGTGCTAGAAGGTGTGTTATGTTATTATAATAATAAATCATCTAATAAATGAGGGCGGGGACTGATGTGAATGTGTACAATGTAAAGCGCTGAATAAATTGTTGGCGTCATATAAATGCCTGTAATAAATAAATAAATAATATTAGGCATGTGATGTAATATAATATGATAATAAAAAATTTACGGTGATTTGATTATTCAGTAACAAACGTGGCAAGATGTGCCATGCGGTTCCCTCCGCGGTAACGGTGTTGTTCCTCCAGCCATGCAGTGTCGCTGTGACGCTCCCTCCCGCTATCCCCGCCCTCTCGTCTCGCTGGTGTTGCTCAGTTCCTGGATACTGCTGGCTGTCGGAGAGAACCCGGAAGTGGAGTGAAGCGGCCGCTCGGTATCGCTGGAGATACGGGGCATGCTCATGGTGAGCAGAGGACGGAGAGGGGCAGAGCTCGGTGAGGAGTGAAGAAGCATTACGCGGGTGCGAGGAGGGAGAACAGACACACCGCATTCCCCCTCGCCGCCACGTCAGTGTTTACCAGAGACACGTCATCAGCAAGGGGCATGCCGGGAGATGAGGCTGACAGCCCGGAGCATGGAGATGCCTGACACCTGTAGACACGGTGGTCGGCCACAGGACCTCTCCACCTGTCCTGATACCCCCTGATCGGGGGGGACACTGTGTGCTGGTATTGGTACCTGTACCGCAGGCATTGTCCCTGACTAGTACTGTGTACAACTCACTAGTACCCTCCTGAGTAATCCCCTGCACCCCCCTGACTAGTACCCTCCTGAGTAATCCCCTGCACCCCCCTGACTAGTACCCTCCTGAGTAATCCCCTGCACCCCCCTGACTAGTACCCTCCTGAGTAATCCCCTGCACCCCCCTGACTAGTACCCTCCTGAGTAATCCCCTGCACCCCCCTGACTAGTACCCTCCTGAGTAATCCCCTGCACCCCCCTGACTAGTACCCTGCACCCCCTGACTAGGACTCTGTAAAACCCTAGTACCCTTTCTCCCCCCATCTGTGCCCTCTGCCCCGCAACTGGTACCTGCTACCCCCTGACTAACACTCTCTGCTGTCTCTGACTTGTCAGCCCTCTTGATGTTCCTCTCCAGCCTTCTCTACATTGCCAGAAGTACCTCTCGGGACACTTTTCTCATCTCCGGCTCATTGATTACCCCGAGGACTCTCATCAGAGAAATGTGACGCTGTCTGAGGACGTTGCAAGCTGGACTCTATACACCTGGAGCGGAGCTGGGTACCCCATCCGGATAAAGCTGCCTTACCAAACGAGCTCATCGAAATCTACAGTTGCTGCCTTGGAATCCCCCCCGCCCCCTTTTTTTGCGTGCGGCTTCTCCATCCTACAGGATTTGTACGTCCACCCCAGCGCACCGAGATCCGAGACCACCATATCAAAACTCTTCCCGTGGCCAGGACCAACTTACCGCTGCGTCTGGGATTACCGCGACTTCCACGTTTCCATTATCCAAATATCTTCGGAGACCGCCAACCGTTTATTGTGCTAAACTTTTGTGTTTCTTTTTCAAGTTTTTAAAAAAATTTTTTGTGGAACTGTTTCGTATTAAACAAAAACAAAACAGTTTTTGATTTTTGTAACTCGGCGATATTTTTTGCACATTCGAATATATATTTTTTTTGTGGTTTTGTATCATACGTTTTATTTATACGGCAACAAAAATGGCGGCTTCGTACTGGGGAATTATCATGAACATCGTGAACAGCATTGTTGGCGTCAGCGTGTTGACGATGCCGTTTTGTTTCAAGGAGGTGAGTGTGAATCCCGCCGCTGACGGTCCGCTCTGCTACACTGGGGGAAATGTATAAGAGGGAATGCGACATTGTAGCCAATCACGCGTTGGCTTTGCACTTGTATGGAGTAAACAAACTTTGTAGAGCTCAGTATATAGCAAGCTACAGCTTGCTATATACTGAGACCTCCGCAGCCGGGACGGATCCTGATATTACTGTCGAGATCCACCCAGCTGCGTGAGTGACTGCTGGCTCTGCCTATCTAGAGACAGCTGTACCCGCCCCCTCCCCGTCCGTTCCACCAGTCAGCGCTGGAGGATTGGACGGGGGGATCCCTGCAGAGAGCCGTGAGTGACAGTCACGGCTCTCTGCAGGGAGATGATAGGGAAGTGGGCGATCGGCGGTATGTGTTCCCTCACTTCCCGATCTACTGAGCCGACGTGTGACAGTCTCATTGTCACAGGTCGGCTCGAACTATGAGGCGGAGTGATTTTCACTCACCCCATAGTTCTCCTTTTTAAAGTAGGACTCCGGGCAAAAGTGTTCTGAACCCTTTTAGTGGGGCTACATCTACATTGCAAGGGTTGGGTGCTCATTTTTATCTAAGTGCTAAAAAAACCCCATACTCGCTGGAACCGGCTGGCTGCTACTCCCTGGAGCTCCCCCCTCCACTGCAGCGATGGTATGTCCCTTGCTGTCCTCGCATCCTATACACTGTGTATAGAACATGATGACTCACGGATCTTTAGAACGCTGCAGCGAAGGGACAGTGAGGCTCCAGGAACCGGTCTAAGAGCAAGCCAGCTCTGAGGGTCGGGTGACTAAACTTTTTTTATTTTTGACATTTCTTTTTAGTGGGGTAGCCCCATTGTATGGATTCGGAACACGTTTGCGCGGAGTTTTGCTTTAGGCCCCGTTCAAATTGAGCGATTTATCGCGCGGTAATTCCCGCGATATCGCGGCTATTTACCGCGCGATATCACTCTTCAATGCTTTGCAATGGGGCGAAGGGTCCTGCTGTCGCGGGTCGTGTGTCGCTACAGCAGGACCCTTTTTGGAGCGTATTTTGCCGCGATTCCAGCTTGGTCAATGCAAGCATTTGCACGATATCGAGCAAAATGCAAATCGCGCAACAAACGCGCGATTTGCAAATTGCGCAGTGTGAATGGGGCCTTAAGGGGGTGTGTCCATTTATAAACTGTTCACATAGTAAGCAGCTCCGCCAATGAGATTCAGCGTGCCTCATGGCCAATAGCTGAGGAGCATAGGAAATCCTGCGCTCCTCAGCTCCATCTAGCGCCAAGCTCATTGGCGGAGCTTTCCCTCCTCTTCAACCATTGGGGGGCCACTGATGATGTAACTCCTGCGTGCGTGCTCTGGAGTTACATCCACCCGGCTCCATTCTTGGCACCATATAGATACTGGGAATGGGACGGCCAGAGGAGACTCTATCCCTTCTGCTCCTCTTTAAATCTGCAACATTAGAGTAATCCCCAGTGATCCTGCCATCAAGGTCCTTGTTCAGGCACTTCCTGTCATGTACTGACAACGCTTTAGCAGGCTTTGAATGAAGATAGTGACAGCAAAGAGGCAGCAGGAAATCAGCAGCACTGAGATGGAACATAGGCTGCCCCTGCCAGTGGCATTAATACTTTCTAAGTGACTGACTTGGAATAAGCAAGCAGCCAGTGAAATCAGAGGTTCTCATTTGCATACTCGTTCTAGGTCAGTGACTCAGAACTGGGGACGGTCACCAGGACAGCCAGCGTTTGCAGGACTCTAGTTTGGCGGCAGCAGCCATTAGCATTGTATCACCGCAGTTTTTTAAAAATTACTTTAGACTCTTTCTTGTTCGATGTCGTAGACTAGAATAGTTTAAATTAGCTGCAAGAAATGCGCCTTGCGTCAACTCTCCAGTCATGTGACCAGTGTTGAGGCATGCCTGCTGAAAGGGAAGGGTCTCTATTCAGGCAGAACCACAGACGGGGTGGTATTAGTGTATAAAAACCGCCCTGAGCTATCAGTGTATGTCAACACACGGGCAGGACCATTGAAATAATATACCTGACATTCGTTTTCTATGCATTGAATGCATAAACACCTCATAATGACATGGAAGGAGCAAGTTAAACCCCACTCCGGGGACCAGGAAAAAGTACCATTGCAGTACCCTGGGACAAGGAGGAAATTCCCTTACCCTTCAGAATTAGGGGTTCTTGATGGTAATGGGGGCCACTGATGTAAAAGGGGGGGTCCTGATGGGGAGGGGAGCTACGAATGTGAATTAGGGGTTCTTGATGGTAATGGGGGCCACTGATGTAAAAGGGGGGGTCCTGATGGGGAGGGGAGCTACGAATGTGAATTAGGGGTTCCTGATGTAATGGGGGCCACTGATGAGGGAAAGGAAGCTACTGATGCATACGGTGACTGATTTGAAGGGGGTGGGGATTTTGATGTGAAGGAGGAGACGTACTTTTTTGTCTGTGCTTTTCCATGGGTTACCCCTAAACTTTAGTCTGGGGTACCTTGGGACTTTGCATACTTTTTAAAGCAGAAATGCTGCTTTAATATAGAGCTGAAACCAAACATTTTTTTTAGTTTTGGATGGAGTGAGGTTATTATCTCTGAGATTTTTTTTGCCACCTGTGACCCCTTGGGGAGTATTCCCTTCACTTCCTGTCTGATATCCACAAGAGGAAGTGAGGGAAACCCATGGTGGTCAGCAGGGCCACCAGAACAGGAAGATCCAACATCTATTCCTGGTCTGATGATGATGTGGATTTTCTTTTATTTTGTCACCAGGACCACTAGAGAGGGTGAATCTCCCTAATGGGGTCACAGACAGCAATAAAAACCTGACAGGGGTCCTAATCCCTCGACACTGTAAAAGTTTTGGTTTTAGACTTTAACTGTGCACTTGTTTCGCCCCGTCCTATGTCGTGAACTGTCCTTCTATAATATTGTGTTGCTCTCCTCGCAGTGCGGCCTCGTGATGGGCACCCTGCTCCTCATGCTGTGCTGTTGGATGACCCATCAGTCCTGTATGTTCCTCGTGAAATCGGCCACTTTGAGCAAGCGCAGAACCTATGCCGGGCTTGGTAAGTACGCAAACTTGTATGTGTAAAATGTCTAGAGTACCTCACAGGGTCACTTGTGGGGGGGGGGTACTTCCTGTTGTTTGTCACCGGGACAGGAAGTAAGGGGCAATCTCCCCACAGGGACCAAAACTGAACAGAAGTTCTAACCCAGGGGTAGTCAAACCCCCGGCCCTCCAGCTGCAGTGGAACTACAAATCCCATGAGGCATTGCAAGAGACTCACAGCCACAGACATGACTCCCGGAGAGAGATGCATCATGGGATTTGTAGTTTCACTATCGCAGGAGGGCCGGACGAATGATGGGGTTGCGCAGAGCCGGGTGGCGCGTCGGTCATTTATTTAGGAAGAATAACATTTCTCAAATGTTTGAGGTTAAAGAAACCACATAAAGTCTGACAATGAAAAGTCGTTCCTGTGGGAAGGTCTCCAGAAGCAGCTTCACACAGGACCCATTTGTGTTCTGATGATGGTGGTGAGCACGGTGCCACAGTGGTCAGCATTCATTGTAGAGCTAAGGTCTTGGGTTCAGATCCCACCAGGGAACCCTATGTGCCTGGAATCTTCCCGGAGCTTCACATTTCTCCCACTATTCACAATCGTACTTCAACTCCGAGAACAAAACCTCATGGAAGTATACTACTCAGTAGCCAGAATCCCACTACAGGAAACTACAGGAGGGTGCGGAGACAAGACCAGTCACCCTGCACAAGCAGAGAGAGCAGCAGTGAGCGGTCTTTATTACAGGAGGCGGGTGCAGACAAGACCAGTCTCCCTGCACAAGGCGAGAGAGCAGCAGTGAGCGGTCTTTATTACAGGAGGCGGGTGCAGACAAGACCAGTCTCCCTGCACAAGGCGAGAGAGCAGCAGTGAGCGGTCTTTATTACAGGAGGGGGCGGAGACAAGACCAGTCACCCTGCACAAGCAGAGAGAGCAGCAGTGACCATTCTTTATTACAGGAGGCGGGTGCAGACAAGACCAGTCTCCCTGCACAAGGAGAGAGAGCAGCAGTGAGCGGTCTTTATTACAGGAGGGGGCGGAGACAAGACCAGTCACCCTGCACAAGGAGAGAACAGCTGTGAGCGGTCTTTTTTACAGGAGGAGGGCGGAGACGAGACCAGTCACCCTGCACAAGAAGAGAGAGCAGCAGTGAGTGGTCTCAGGAAGCTTCTGCGGTAAAGCTTCACACAGGATTACTACACAGATCTCAATTTACCTACAAAGCTCAATTTTTAGAGCCATTCCCCATGCCAATCTCTGTGAACATTCATTCTGTGTGAATAGAGACACAAATGAACATTCTTACTATATTTGCTTTTCAGGTCGAATGTATTGTGATATAATATTGCATTATGGCCACTAGGTGGAGCTGAGGAATGTAGGATACAAGTATTTCCTGTGCTCCTCAGCTCCATCTAGTGGCCATAAAATATTACATCACAATACCTTCGACCAGAAAAGCAAATATACTAAGAATGTTCATTTTCGCTTCTATTCGCTCAGGACGAACTTTCAAAGAGATTCGCAGGGCGAATGGCTCTGCAAATTGTTTATAAATAGATCCGATAGTATTGCATCCCTCAAAGATGCAGCTCCTTGCGCAGTAATCCTTTAGGCTTTGGCAGGGATTCCATGCTTATCTTTTCTTTGGCTTCAAGTTCTGTGCAGGTTTCCTGGAAGGGTCAGCGAGCCAGTTACTTGGGGAGGCTTCTGGGAATTAATGTCTACAGACTTGGTGCCATTGCCATGGTTGCAAATTCGTGATTGTAAGAGCATGGTTGCAAAAGTTCTTTTGCCAGCTATTAAAAATAAATACATTTATATATATAATCTGGCCAATCACTGAAATGGAAGAGATTTTACAATGCAGTTGGGTTAGAGGGGGTCATCCTGGGGGAATTCACCAGAGAAGAATGATGTGGTTTGATATTTCTCATGGGGACAGCATTGGGTAGATGCGAGGGATTGGCCGGCCAAATATGTTCACTGATTACACCACTTGGCCCCCTATGCTACACTGTAACACTATTGGCAGAGCTGACCCCCCCC